AGATTCAAATTAGAATTCACAAAATAAGCAAACAACAATTGATGTAACAAGTGACAAGTTAGCAATTTCTGAGGGGAAAAAGGTCTAAGAAATCATAAATTGGGGCTAATCATAAGTTGGGGCTATTTATTTGTTGCCCATAATGCTAAGTTTCTCATAAGAAATAAACACTTATTTTCTTCCTCCTAGTTTTTAAAGGAGAAGCAGAAACTCCCCGACTTTACCAGTGAACAAAAACAGCACTGGAAATTTTAAGAAAGGAAAATGTTTCTTATTGCTCTTTATACCTTAAATTTGCATATTGCTTTATGGTTTACAAAGAATTTTCATTAGCATTCTCCCTTTTGATCTCCATTTCAATCATATAAAGTTGGTATAATTGCAGCCCTTCACTTTGCTACTAAAAGGAAACAGAGCTTTGAGTAAAATAACTGTCCAAAACTGCTTTGATGAAAAGTTGCAGTAACAGAACTAGAACCCGTATCTTGGGTCCCTAATTCAGTGCTTTTTCCACGGCATTCTTAGATGCAAAAGAACCGTGTAAATTCCAAAGACACTGCGCAATCACTGAAATGTTTCCTTTGTCCTTCCCTACCATATTTCTTATGATCCATCCTCCTTCTGCCCCCACCACATCAGTCAAGAGATGTATTTAAGGCCATTGTATTCCATAGGCACTTTTTTTTACTTAGAACTAAAGGTTTATATAATGAATATAAGATAAAGTATCTAATGAACTATTACATACACATATCTGCTACAAATCCAACTTTATATAGCTATTTTAAGATGTCTTTTAAATCATCCTTTCTCTTGGTAAGAATATTTACAACCTCTTTCAGGCAGAAAAGCACTCCTACTTTTTTAGGAACCATATATTTTATAATCTTACACTTCAAAAAAAGGTATTCTCTTTGGTGTACATGCACTTTCTATTTCTCTGTTCACTGCACTCTGGTCACTCTTTCTCAGTCCCCATATTTCTTTCTTCCCCATTCTTCTTTTTCTTAGCATCTTTTATCTTTCCCTTAACTCTTCTATAGTAACTGGATATATTTTTATTGTACTTACTGATATGCTTATTCAAGAGTTTTGTATTTCTTACTCTTAACTTTAAAAGCAGATAAATCAAATGATTTGCATGTTCTTTCAAAAATATAATAAAAACTTCTAAATTAAAAAAAAAGGTAATTGGAGTTCTTAATTTTGTACCACAAACTATTTCCTGAATTGTTTTTAATGCAGAAATTTAGAAACTTAAAAAAAATGTACAAGATACAGGATTAGAAAGGAATGCAATTATAATGAAATACAGTATTATTTAAAACAAATTATATTTAAAAACTGAATTACTGGGAGTACATGGAAGCAGACCCTGGTTAAAAACAAACACACAAAAACCTCAATTTCAAAACCTTCAAAAACTAAAAGTTGAAATAAGTGTTGAACAGCTAATACTTTAACATCACAGATTATTGTGTGACAATAACCCTGCAAGGTAAGTACTACTGTCATCATGATGTATACGTAAGTGGCTAAAAGAAACTAAGTAAGATAACCAAGGTTACTCAGCTACCAAGTGGCAGAGCTGAGTCTTGAACTTTCTCCAAGGCCCAGATTCCAAACCACTTATCCCTTCCAATTGACACTGACATCACTCATATCTCAAGACTTTTCTTAACTCATTCCTAGCCACCAAGATGGTTTCTCTGAGTCTTTTCCTATCCATTCCAATCTTCACTGACACTCCACTGCCCATGTAAGATTGGGACTAGGTCCTTGAACCAGGAAACTAGTCACCCTTCTGTTCAACAAAAGAACCACAGACAACACAAGGCCTACATTCAGCTGTTATATCAGCTATTCTCCGACCACTTCCATGCCTAACCAATGTCATTAGTTCTATCTGGAATGCCTTCTGCCGTCTATTGCCACCTACTTAAATTCCACTCGTCTTTTCAAGCATAGCTCAAGTAATACAATCTCAGTGCTAATCATTCCATCTCCAGCCAGAAGTAATCTTTCCTCCTCTGCATTCTTATAGCTCTATAATTAGAGCAAGACAATGAACACACCCATGAAAGGTAATTATCTGTGACCCGGGACTTTTTTTTTCAATTCCTCAAATACATCACTCTCATCTCACTATCAGGATTCACTGCCTAGAACATTTTTACTCCTTTTCCCTTGATTAACTCTTGCTTTTTCCTTCAGATCTCAGCTCAGAGAAAAGTTCCCCTAAAAAGCCTTCCTTCATTGCCTCCATCCCAACTGTGGGCCAAGCACCTTATTCACAGCCCACAGATTGCTCACTGGCCGTTTGTCTCTCCAGTAGACTCTAAGTCTCACTGGAGGGACACTCCATTTAATTTGGTCATGGTTGCATTTCAACACCTGGCATAGTGCTGGGCATGCAGTCGGAACATTTCTTAATGAATTTGCAACTGAATTTTCCTCACTGTCTTTTCTGATTAATCCAGAAACAAATGTCAAAGTACAGGACTCTGCAAATAGCACATACTAATTAAATAATTGTTGGATGAAATAATTCTTGTGGTAGATGGCCTAAATTATCTTAAATCATCAAACAATATGGATTGAACTGCAAATCACTATAAATACGAATCCCTGACAATATGTCTATTCTAGGGAAAACAAGGATAAACATTTCAAATTTATTTGAACACATGTGTTAAAACTTATAACTGAATCAGACCAAGAAGGTTTCTTGGGATTATTGCAAATCACATTAATTTATCATCGCCCTTTGCAGCTCCCTGCATTCCTCAGTTCTTATTTATCTGTACTCTAAACTCTAGACTCCAGATTATCTAGGCTCTTTACATTCATTCTCCGTACATTTCAATATACCAACTGCTGCTCGGGGGAAAACCCATTTTCACCATTTTAAAGCCTCCATTCTCCCACCATCAAGCTTTTTCCTTCTTTCAACAATCTATTATAATGCCTACCTCATTTTCCTTTAAAGCAATTATTATGGGTTTCTTCTTCCATGATGCCCCTCTTCAATTGAGAAGAGCCTAGTTCAGGCTTACCTTTAATTCACTCATTCATTCGTGAGCACTTGTTACATGACGAAGCCTCTGCATAGAGTAGATTCTAAATGTTCTTCAGCTAATTGGATTCCTATAACCACAAACACTCCCATCTCCCAAACACTCCAAGCATTTTCACTGTACAGATCTTCTAACAGAGTTAGAAGAATTTCAGAGAGATGTAAATATCTGAGAAAGGCACAGTAGGCTTCTAGGATCATTCATAATTGTTGAAAACAAGATACCAGAAAAAAATTTAAAATCTAAAGGACAAATTCAGAAATATATTTGCAATATATGGAAACCATGGGATTAAACAGCTCTAAAAAATAGAAAAGGACAAAGAACAGTCTGGTAGTAAAAGGTGTGAAGGATATATAAACAGGCAATTCACAGAGCACAAATAGCCCTAACATATAACATACTTTATTTTACTAATTAAAGAACTGTACATTAATATAATAAAATGATATTCTTGTTTCTTTGCTATGTACAGATGAAGACAGCTCTCACCTCTACAGCTGGCAAGAGTACACCTTGCTAGAAGCGTATTAACTAGAATAGCTCTTTTGGAAAACAATCTGACAAGATTATTAAAAATAAGTAATATGCATATGTTTTGACTCAGAGATACTACATTTATGAATATCATTCCTAGGAAAACAAAAGGAGATGCATGTACACATCCTATGTGTAGACGTATGTATAAGAATTTCATTGCAGATTTACATTAGTAAAAAATAGTATCAATAATAGGAAAAAACACAAATCCACTGATCAGAAACACATAACGTGCATCTAGTAACTGGGATACTATATAGCAGTTAAAAGAAACAAGGTAGAACTTTATGTGCTGACATGTAATAGTACATTGTTAACAAGAAAGAGAAACTACAGAATCATATGAATATATTGAAAATATTTCATATCAAAATCAATCCAGTGACATTACATGAACAACACTGAATCTAATCTAGATTAGTTTTATATTATTCCCAAATGTGTCAAGACTGCAGCTGAGAATTTCTGGGCTAGATTACCTTATCGGACCCCTCTAGCTCTAAAATTCTCTAATTTTAAGTATTTTGTACAACATCAATCTTGGACATAATATTCTTACAAGACCACAACTGTTCTCCCCAATATGTTTCAGTGCCCCTTATCAAAATACAACATGAAAATGCTAAAAAATATCAAGAATTTTAGATCTATGTTGCAAAACTTGGGTTCTTAACACTATACCCTTATCAATGACAATTAATATTGAATATGTACATTCTACAGAAATCACAAATTATAACACCTACCTCAATAATGTAAAGACCACTGAACCTTGAAAATACTAAGAAAGCTAACAGAACCCCTTAAACATATAAAGAAATAACAGCAAATTTTATAATATAGTATCTAAAAATGGTAACTGCAAATCAAATCATATTGGAGGGCAATCATAAAACAGCAGTGGGGCCTCTGTGTAGGTTGGGCAGGAGTGGGATTTGAAGTCAGAAGATCCAAAGATAAAGAACCACTCTTTTGGCTCCAGAATTCTAAGCAAATCAAATAATTGGAGCCTCAACTGCCTCATTTTTTTTAATGAAAATAAGTACAGTAAAAGTAGACAGATAGCTAGATAGCTAAAGACAGGTGCTTGATACAGTGCCTGGGACAAAATAGCTTCTCAAATCCTTGTCAAATAAAAACAGTTGCATCCTTGTTGCTTTTGTTAAGGTATCTGTCTTGTTCTCCTGAGTTTTTGTAACATGAATATATGTTACATTTATCTGAATTTTTGTAACACTGAATATATACAACAATCCTATGTATTTTTTACTACGTATCAGAAAGGGGTTTCTTGCACCCTCAAAAGTCTACTTGTTGGCATATTATTTTACATTATATGAAAAAATTTGTTCTCTCAGAAACTCTTGGAGAAAGTATACTTACAAAGCACAACCCCAAAACTCCGTGTTGCTCTCCTCTGAGCTCAGTGCTCTTAGGCATCCACCTCTGCCTCCTATCATTTCTTCATTAGGTTCAGGGCAAAAGGCCTAGTCATGTAGATGATCTCTGGGTGCCCCTGCACTTTCCCAAAACCACCTACAGATAAATGAAACAAGGGGGTAAAACACACCTACAATCTTAAATTTTATAAACTAATAAAAGATGAAAATAAGTTCACCCTCATTCTGTGCAGTTTAGGCATATCAGAGAACAGAGAAAATGCTCCCTGGGTCATGCAAAAGCCCCCACTGAACTTAACAGGGATTCTTCACACCCAAGTCCCCAGTCGGCATACTTCTCACTCACTGGTCACTTCCACTCTGGCCTGGTTCACACCTTGGACTAACTAGATCGCATAGTAATATGAATTATAGCCCAAGTATGACCAAAAGTACTGTCCCTGAGCATGTCTGTCAGTGGGTGAATTGATAGGTAATGAAAGTAGGTAATGAAATTTACATGTTAACTTCTGAATTTAATGGTCTAATTGTATTTCTAAGCCAGTAAGGAACTACTCCTAAAGGAAATATTTTCTAAGCTGCCCAAGTCTTCCCACATTTCATACTGAATTAAATAAGTAAAAGTAAAATGTCTTTGGTTTTAGGAAAGAGCTGTGGACAGAAATATTTTTAATTCTTTGTGACTGCTTTCAAAGCAGTCTATAAGAATCCATAGCAAGTCATCCAGACAACTGGTAGTTGTCCACTTAAAAGGTAGATCTGGGAATACATCTAAGCACCACTTCAAGAAAAAAAAAGGTACTCTGGAAAAGCTGATCAATATAATTGTTGAGAGAGAGTTCATCATGACCCAGTCCAAGCAAGGACAGAGAAGACATGCAGAGATGACACAGGCAGGATGCACATTTCATTCTTCTAACAGAGACTCAAGCTTCACCCAATGAGATGAGTTACAGACACAACCGAATTTTCTGCGCTAATGTGAAATTGTCAGTTTTCATCTTCTGTCTGTGCTATCCACCACAGTAGTCACTAGCCATAATGAGGGTAGGTAGTGAAAAGCTGGCCAGTTTGAAATGACATGTGCTGTGTAAAATAATAACCAGAGTTTGAAGACATACCACTATTTTTTTTTAATTTTTAGGGAATGTAAAATACTCAGTTTCAAAATGACTACACATTGAAATGAAAACATTTTGAATATATTATGCTAAATAAATTTCTTTTCACACGTTTAATGTAGGTACTAGAAAATTTAAACTCAAGTGTGTGGCTCACATTATATTTCTACTAGCACAGTTTTGCATAATTAATAAAAGTAAGTAACAAATACTGAGCCCTTCCACTGTGCCAGGCCCTGTGTTAGATACTATATAATAGAACATCACTGCAAAGCGGTTTTACAAGACGTCTGCGGAAGTGACTGGTCTCTATCAAATCAGCTGGAATTCATTGTCAAATGTTCCTACTAAATAACTTAAATATGGGACAGTTAACAGCTAAAGTTGGGGTTAACTCCTATGTTGGCATAGGAAAGACAGGTCGCTGATACAGCCAAGGGGTAGCAAACTTTTGCGACCATAGAACAGGTGCAAACGTCAGGGCCATATACTAGGCCAGGCAAGTTAGCGCCAAAATGCGGCCAGGCTCTCTGACAGCTCAAGTTTCTCAGCGGCTGGTGGCAGGACTAGCTGCTCCAGGAGGGCAACGTAGTTCAGATTCCGGGGATAACTTGGCCAGGACCAGTCTGCGGACACCCATGCCGAGGGAGGGGGGCGTCGGGATGCGCGGCATGCCGCCCCACACCCCTAACCTTGGCACACACTCCACCTGTCCAAGGCCCCATCCCTGGTCTCTGCGCAGCTTTGGTGTCCCCACGCAGGGACTAGGGGAAGTGGGACCTTCCCCTACGATAAGACAGGGAAGTGGTAAAGAAAGGAGAGGGGACGTCTGGGGGCAGATACCTGAGAGAGAAGAGGACCCCAGGTCGTCAATGCTGGATCATCGCCGAGGCCCCTCCCGGCTCCCGCGGCCACCAGGGACCTACAAGCGAAACTGACCAGACGCTACGGCGCAACCGACTCAGCTCTCCCCAGACTCGCAGCTATGGCAACTTGAACTAGCCGCCCAGCTGCAGCGAGGGTACAGGACCCCGCTGCTGCCTCATGGCCCTCTGGGAGTTGTAGTCTATCTTGTACTCAAAGCATAGGATTATGAAGGCCAGCGGCCCCAAGAGAAACTGCAACTCCCAGGATGCCAAAGGACAGGCCTACCAGTGCCTTTCCCGGAAGAAGCTGGATTAGCGGGCACCTGAGTACCTTTGGAGCGCCTTCCGCCTCTCTTCCTTTTTTTTTTCTTAAAGGGTCAGTAGCTCCTCGAGGAGCCAGAGACGCGATGTAAGAGTTGCCTTGGCTCTGACTAATCAGAAAAGTCTAAAATATCTACTTTTTAAAAGTAAGAAAAATTCAAAGTAATTGCAATAGTAACATAGACTACATTTCTTTTGCTCCTTGGGAAACAAGGAATCGTAACTTCCAACTGAGAAATGTAATACCAGGGCCCAGTGTCTTTTTCGAAAAGCTCACAAGTTATTAGAACAGGAAGGAAACAGAAAAGATTTTTCTAGTTAAAACTTCAGGCCTGGAAAGGGTAAGTGACTTGTCTAAGATCGCATAGCTCATTAATGTCAAACCAAAAGTGTATAAGGCTGTCTGGTTGCTGCTATATTCAGTAGAGGGTGTCATCTCAGTCATTCTGAGGTAGGACAGGGACATGGCACAAGCATCATGATTAATTTTTCCTGCCAATGACGAAAAAAATGCCAAGATATAAATAGAACAGAAAGGACTCCATCTTAAGACTAAGATTCCATTTTAAAAACTAGGGAGTTGAGGTAAGATTCCTAACATATTTTATGGTAATCAGCCAATAACCAACCCTATCTTAAGGCAGGGTAAGCAGTCCTAAATGATATGTCCCCACTGCTTCAGGGTAATCACCATCTTGGAGAAGAACAGGTTCAAGAAATACCTTGTATCAGATTCATCTTACAGAATATCTAGAAGACACATGATGGATGGTGACATAATGCCTCTCACTGAAGACAGGCATCATGAGACCACATGTCAAGCCTACACACCCACCCCACACACAACTTTTGCCCCATCCTTGAGATCCTTAAAAAACAGAAATCTAAGCCTTTAACCTCACCTCCTTTCTGAGGTTGCCCATATTTCCCTTTCTTGGAGTCTGTACTTTGCCTTAAATAAAAACTTCTTACTGCTCAACTCATTCCGTTTTGTCTCTGCACTTTTCCAGTGGTAAGTCTCTTTCTTACTTTGCTATTTTATTCTATTTTCTAGACTTAAGCACAAGTCTTCACTCTGTCTCTGTTCTACTTCAGACAAGTAGGGAAGGGCTACTGAGATCTCTAATCTGGGCTTTCAAGTTCCCATCACCTGGGTGGCCTAGATAAGACTGCTGCTGTGTGATCATGCTCTTCAATAACCCACCTGAAATCTCCTTTCTTGGCTTTGAGAAGTTCTCAGAAAATAATCTCACTTCATCCAGTGCTCTGCTGCTCCCCCAAATCCTAGGGTGGTAGGGACTTAGTTCCCACCCCATAAAGATTCAAGCAGTCACTGGACACCAGGTGTCTCTGGCTTCAGGAGTTGGCAAGGGATCTACCCTGCACTGAGCAGTTCAGTGAGTTTGTCTTCCCTGTGTTCCTCCTCGTTCTCTACTGCCTCCAAGGCTACTGCCATTTGCTGCTATTCTCAGTTAGTGAATTCCTTCTGTATCTACACTTATCAAAACTGTTTAAGAATTCTTTGTCAATCAGAATCCAGAACCCTCCCCAGTCCAGGCTGATACTTCACTGAGTGCGCAGGAATAGACCTCCCCAGACACAGCTACTCAACAACAATTCTAGAACATGATGGAGACATATTCCACTCAGAGAAGTCATTTTCAGGCATGAAAAGCTAATAAAAAACTCAACAAAGAACTGAACTTTAGAAAGCTAAGAAGTTAAAATCAGTGTAAGCACATAGAGCCTCGTTTCCCTCTCTCTGCCAAAAAGACCACTAGTCCCTTTCTCCTTGAGACTAAAATCAAATTTTACTTTATCTGTGAAAGTTTTCTTGGCTACCTCAAGTAGAGCTAGGTCACGTTAAATAGACAGGTTCTCTATTCCAATAATTCTGTGCTGTAAATATTATTTTCCAAATGGGTCTCTTCCATTATATTATAAGACCTTCAAAGGCAGGGACCTAACCTTTCAAAATCATTATGTCTTTTCAACCTTTCCCAGTTTCCAAATCTCCCTTCATATCTCTCCCTTTCTAATACACAGACAAAATCATAAACAATTAGCATATCAAATTGATATTTAAATCATTCAAATATTTTTTCTGGCCAGCAATGAGGGGTAAAAGGTTATTCATATCATTTGAAAATAAAATAATTATGTTAAGATCTACCTGTGTATTTGCATCTATCTGTCTTCAAGCTTGCTCATAGTTGTAGTCAGGCATACACTCCATGTGAGAGAGATTAAGGTAAGTCAGAACAGCTTTAAAATTGTTCCATATGCATACAGAAGCATAATAATAACTCCATTTATGTGTTAACATTTTGATTTTTCAAAACAACTGCCTTCATTCAATTCAGAAAATGTATACTGAACCTTTCTAGGATCCAGACATTGTATTAGTTACTAAAGATGCAGTAAAAACAAGAAAATGAACAGCAGAATTGCTGCCCTTATGTTGCTCAGAGTAAAGTAAGGACAGAATACTAATCAAATTACTATAAGTCTGGATGATAGAGTACCACATAGGTTTCTGTGGATGGACACAAAAGAGAAACTTCCTAAGGGAGGGATATCTGATCAACTGCAGGACGAATGACTCCTAAGACAGCTAATGTACCCTGAGCTGCCATCATAAAAGTGAGTATCCATAACCTCTCTTCACTGGTCCAACTATATTAGAGAATTAGATTAAATTGTAGGGATCCCATTTTTAAAGTGATATTAATGAAATAAATCAGAGGACCCAATTGGGAGTGATGGGTGGAAAATAGATTTGAGATCACTATGCCAAGAAATTTTACCTTACATTATTAAATTTATAGCAGCTTTTTGTTACAGTGTGCTCTCAATCCACAACTATGACATTGTAGGTAAAACTGCAGTATTTTCAGAATCTCTCACCTGGCCTAAGTGCATCTCCATATCAAAAGGTGATTACAAAGGGGAGCAGCGGAGCATCTGGACTGGAAGGGTTGGATGGGGTCCCTTTTTGCAGCTGGGTTGCAAGATTCACAGTCAAGCAAAAGTGGACGACTGCTTGTAAGTAATAAATGGGTTTCTCCCAGTTTATTTCTCTCTAGACTGATTTCAGCTTCAAATTTAATTTGCCTGGGCTGGGAACATATTTTTCACCAAGAGTTACAGACATCCAGGAAAAATATACTGAAGTCAGATCATAGAATGTCTCTCTCTAACAAAACAGGCAAAATAAGAGAGCCAACAAAAAATATTTTACATAAAACGTGTCTTTTAACTCCCAAATGACATTTATTGCAAAGGGAAAAGGGCATCAATATGGTAGACCTACATCCAACAACCCTCAAAACACACTCAAGCTGAATCACCTGATTCTACATTTGGAAAAACCCAGAAGGATTATCATTTGCAGTTCTCTCTCTTTGCAAACAGCATAAATAGAGACACCCAGAGTCTAAATGATGTATTGGTTTGTAGGGCTGCCATAATAAAATACCACAGAATGGGTGGCTTAAAAAACAGATATTTCTCACAGTTCTGGAAGCTGCAAGTCCAAGCACAAGGAATGATAAGGTTTGGGTTCTTCAGAGGCCTCCTCCCTCAGCTGGAAGATGGTTGTCTTCTCTGTCCTCACGAGATGCCCCTTTCCCCATGCAGGCAGATATCTTGTGCATCTCTCTCTACAAAGACACCAGTCACACTGGATTAGGGCCCCAGCCTTATGGCATCATTAAACCTCAATTACCTCTTTAAAGGTAATTATGTCTTCAAATATGGTAACATTGAGGGTTTAGGGTTATGGGGCTAGAGAGGAAGGGGGACAGAATTTTATACAAAACACATGATTTCCCCCAAATTGTACTTATTCATGATTAGTGTTATCAATGATCTTCCCACTACATAATACCTCCCTAAAGGGAGATGTAACAGATATTATTTTACATACATGACCCATATATTCTCCAGAATAGACCACATCCTAGGCCACAAGAAGAGTCTTAGTAATTAAAAATGATTGAAATTGTACCACCCAACTTCTCAGATCACAAAGGTATAAAACTAGAAGTAAATTGTGCAAAGAAAACAAAAAGGCTAACAAGCACATGGAGGCTTAACAACATGCTCCTAAATAATCAATGGATCAATGACCAAATTAAAATAGAGATCAAGCAATATATGGAGACAAATGACAAGAACAGCACAAAGCCCCACCTTCGGTGGGACACAGCAAAAGCAGTTCTAAGAGGAAAGTATATAGCAATCCAGGCCTATTTAAAGAAGAAAGAAAAAACCCAAAAGAATAGTCTAAATTCACAATTATTGAAATTGAAAAAGAAGAACAAATGAGGCCCAAAGTCAGCAGAAGGAGGGACATAATAAAGATCAGAGAAGAAATAAATAAAATTGAGAAGAATAAAACAATAGAAAAAATTAATGAAACCAAGAGCTGGTTCTTTGAGAAAATAAACAAAATAGATAAACCCCTAGCCAGACCTATTTAGAAAAAAAGTGAATCTAGACACATGAACAGAATCAGAAATGAAAAAGGAAAAATCATGATGGACACCACAGAAATACAAAGAATTATTAGAGAATACTATGAAAAACTATATGCTAACAAGGTGGAAAACCTAGGAGAAATGGACAACTTCCTAGAAAAATAGAACCTTCCAAGACTGACCAAGGAAGAAACAGAAAATCTGAACAGACCAATTACCAGCAACGAAATTGAATCAGTAATCAAAAAACTACTCAAGAACAAAACCCCTGGGACAGACGGATTTACCACAGAATTTTATCAGACATACAGAGAAGACATAATACCCATTCTCCTTAAAGTTTTCCAAAAAATA